AAGATTTTATTTATTTATTTGACAGAGAGAGAGAACACAAGCAGGGGGAGTGGGAGAGGGAGAAGCAGGCTTCCTGCTGAGCAGGGAGCCCGATGTGGCGCTCCAACCCAGGACCCTGGGATCATGACCTGAGCTAAAGGCAGACGCTTAATGACTGAGCCACCCAGGCGCCCTGACATTTAAAATTTTGAGTATTTAATAATTGAATTTTCCTATTAAAAATTCAGTTAACAATTTAGAAAATGTGTTAAAAAATCCTCCTCTTATTATTCCTTCTCTGGACTGTGGTATATAAAACTTTTCTGTAGCATTAAAATGAAAGATATGAAGGATTTTGGAACATGCCACACCAAAATATGCCTCTTTGGCATATTGCTTATTTTGAGCTGAAGGTACTTGATAAACAGCAAGCAGATGCAGTAAGGGCTCTCTGACCACTTTCCACCTAAAAGCAGGTCATAAAATTTCTCATGAGAAAGGTGCCCTCTCTGTATCAGGAAGAGAAGACTAGGAGTCAGTGTTGAAACAGACTTGTACAAACCTATTAATATTAGTTTCCCCCATATATTTCCTAATCCCTGTCCCACAATTTATTGCCCCCAGCCCAAACCCCTTTGTCTGGTCACATCTTCACAATTTATTGTTCTTTGTGTAAAATGGCATGTAAGTTTTTGGGCCTAATGGCTACTTTAGGTTGAAAATATTAAATCTCTATGCTTTTCTCCTGTTAATCTGTCTTATATCAATTTAATTCTTAGGCCAGCCACAGAACCTAAAGGGACAGAAGGAAACTTTTTCTTCCCTACAGATATGAATTTCAGAAGTGACACATCTTGAAATAGATCAATATGACACACCTACCTAAAATCAGATGCATTCTGTCTTTGTTAATTTCCGGCAAAGATTTAGCACTAGGTGTTGCTCCTGATGCCTGGTTTAAACTGACGGGTGTAGCACGTTTCTGTAAGCCAGGTACGGCTGCTGCTTCTGCAGACTCTGAACATGTAAATCCTGTGCTATTTAACCAAAGTGCCACTGCATGGAGAATCGGGGCCCACGAATTCCGGTAGTGAAGTCTAGCTGTATCAATAGTCTCGGGAGTATAAAATGCTCCACCTGTAAAATAATCAAGCCAATCAAAGCCATTACTTTTATTGTAAGTGGTCAACCATTTATCAACAACTAACTTAAAAATACTCATTACTTACTGTCTTAGTTCATTTGGACTGCTATAACAAAATCGGAGACTGGGTGGCTTATTAAACAGCAGAAATTTATTTCTCACAGTTCTGGAAGGGGGAAGTCTGAGATCAGGCTGCCCACACGCTCAGGTAAGGGCCATCTCTCCGACTCACAGCTGTATTCTTACATGGTGGAAGGGCCTAGGGAGCAATGTGGGGTCTTTTCCCTAAGGGTACAAATCCCATTCCAGAGGGCTTCACCTCCTGACCTAAGCACTTCCCAAAGGGCCCGCGCTTCCTGATACCATCACAATGGGGATTAGGTTTCAACACATGAATTTGGAGGGGACACAAAATTCAGACCATAGCATGTACAAAAGAGCAATGTGGCCAAAGAGATTCTCTTTATTACAAAGCCACCGAAAGTAACGTCTTTCCTGCAGCCGCAGAACTGGAGGGCCTGTGTCTTCCTCACCAATGCTAGGGTTTCTAGCCTTTCCTCTCCACCTACAGATGCTGCTGGGGATCCTCTACCTTCCTCTACCCTGTGGTCACAGGCCTCCTCTTCACTGTTGCCAGAGACTCCCTAAAACCCTGGTTACCTTCTCTTTCTACCACAGCCAGGGAACTCTGTCTTTCTCTTTCACCCTTCCTCTGCCATCCTTCCTTAACTCCTGTTTTCACTACCAAATTGAGGACTTCCCCATCTGTCCTTGCATACATTGACTAGCACAGCAATAAACTTCATCATAGTTATGCATAATGACTTGTTATGCATGGTTATTTAGAGTACTCTAGCTGATACAGTTGTTATAACAGTGAGAACTTTTTGCTTGGGTTAACAAATGAGCTTAATGCTGTATTTGAATTTATAAATTCAATACAGAGAATATGCCCTAAGTGAGAGAGTGCCAAGTTTAAGTCCACAGAAATTTAACATGTCATTACATCTTAAATTATATTATTAAATTATTAATAATTAAATAATTAAATTTAAGGGGTTATACTCACTTTATAAATTTAAGGTGGGTAAGTTACACTATAATATTATTAATTATTATTGTTGCCATATAATTACTACTCTGAACTCCATAAAGGCAAAACTCTGAATGCAGTACTTACCATCTGGGGGGAGCTGACTAGCAAATTCAGCCGGTAAAGTCAAAAGCGCATAGTCTTTTAATGCCGCCAACCATAGGCGGCTGAGTGTTGGCAGTTCGGGTTGCACGAGTGTTATTAAACTATCTGGTGGTAGTTCATCTATGGTACCATAATCATCATCATCATCATCAGTACTTTTCATTGCTCTTTTTGGCTTTGACTCTGCTTCCTTCTTAATATTCATAGCAACCACATATACCTAGTAAGATATTTAGGAGGAGGAAATAACAAGGCATAATATTAAGAGATGATATAATCTAAGTTGCTATGATTATACAATTGAATTATTGAAAGTAATTGAGTATAGACACTGAAAAGTCTATAACTTCATGATTTCCTGACAACCTCCAAAGAATAATTCTACCTGCTTTGGAGACAATCTTTTTTTTATCGATCTGACTTCTGACTATTCCTCTCAAAAAATATTCCTTCAGCAGGGTTCTCTGAAATTTTTCTGGCTTCTCTTGTTATACTTTACAAAGCCCCCTTTTATGTGTGGTTCTTTTTGGTCATAGGGTATAACTTCCTGTTTACTGCCTCCACTTTCACAGACTTATTAGATACAATCAAACAGCATTCAAAGAAAAAGGCTGGAGGGGGATTGGAGAAGGGCCAGAGAAAGGATTTCCATAAATATCCTTCTAACCTCTTAAGTGATATTTAGCAATCTGGCCTTTATAATAGAGAGTTGAGCCAAGCATATAATTTACTAGTCACATATATATTATCTGTATCCTTTCTCTCCACTTAGTAAACCAAAAAGATGTATAACAGCAACTTCCTAAAACATAATTTTAAAGATTCTTCTTTGTTGCAGTTATTTTTGTTTTTGTTTTTGTGCATTCATTTAGGCTTTGGCAATTGGTATAGACTGAGTACAGAACATGAGGCAGAAGTAGGTGAAGGTTTTACTCCATAGGCAATGGGGAAGGGAAGAGGTCACTGCAGGATTTATAGATCAGATATTATGTATTTTTTCTGAACTTTTAATTTTATTTTAAAATTATACCACAAAAAGTTTTGAAAATGAGTTTAAATTACTCATAATCCCAATTTCCAGGTTACCATATTCTATCTTTATAAATTGTAATTTTGTTGTACAAAGAATTTTGTATTTAATTTTATCTATTAACATATCATAAGGTTTTCCCATGAAATGCTAGTCTTCATAACCATTACTCTTAATGGCTGTAGGGGATGAGCCATAATACATCTAACAATTTCCCTACATTGAAATTTTATATTTACTTCTGATTCTTTACTTAGCATTGGGAATCTTAACAAGATAAGATATAATTTTCAAAGGCAAAAGGTGTACAGTTCTTCACATTATAAATAATGTTCCAAGTAAAGCTTTTTGTAAACATTTCCTTCCTGTATTTTGGATATTTTTCCCTAAGATAAAGTCCCAGAAACAGAATTATTGCATTAGTGATTACAAATATTTTTATGGCTCTGAATAGACACTGCCAAAACCTTTCTAAAAGGGTTCTATAATTTACATTGCTACTTGCAATACAGGAGAATATATTTTTTAGACTTCTTTTTAAACAATCTTTAGCTTATCTTTCTTATTAGATATTACACAAGAAAAAGAGAAAAATCAGAAGTATAAGTAAAATGAAGAAAATGAGAAAATACCATTAGTATTCTAAACATGTTGTATATATATAGTCTTTTAAATAATACTGTGTGAATAACTTTTATTTTTTTAATTAAAATTTTTTTTTAAAGATTTATTTATTTGAAAGAGAGAGAGAAAGAGAGCATGCGGTGGTGAGGGGCAGAGGGAGGAGAGACAGTCCCAAGCACACTCCCCACTGAGTGTGGAGCCCAACACAGGGCTCGATCTCATGACCCTGAGATCACGCCCTGAGCCGAAACCAAGTCAGACGCCCAACCAACTGCACCCCACAGGCATCCCTGTGAATAACTTTTAACCCAATTTTCGATTCACTTAATTCCATCATCTCTTAGGATCAAGACATACTTTTAAGTTATTTCCATTTTTCTGAGAAAAAAATAAACATCACAATAAACATCATCAGCAGAGTCTTTGTGTATATCCTTAATATTCCTTATGATAAACTGGTCAGCTAATGTGTGGTTTTAGTAAGTGTTTTGATACATATCACCCTTTAGAAAAATTTTACTAATACTATTATTCTAAAAATGATGTTAATTTAGCTGGGAAATGTTTCTATATTTCTTCCCCCCTCCCATATGTTTATGTGTAGTTTTGTTTCCTCTCTGTGAATTGTCAATTCATATTCTTTGCCCAAATTTGCATTTTAGAATGATTATTCTGACAATCTGAACAGTAACAGCTGGAGGTGGAGGTGGGGGAGACTAACAGTAGAAAAAAAGTAGGATGCAACTGCATAGACCAGGTAACAGATGATGAGGACTCAAACTAAAGGCAGGGGTAGAAGAGAGGAAGTATTTATTTATAGATATGGAAAAGGTATATATAATCTATTGCTAAATTTTTTTTTTTAAGATTTTATTTATTCATTTGAGACACAGAGATACAGAGAGAAAGCATGAGCAGGGGGAGAGGAAGAGGGAGAGGGAGAAGAAGCAGGCTCCCCGCTGAGCCAGGAGCTCGATGTGGGGCTCGATCCCAGGACCCTGGGATCATGACCTGAGCCAAAGGCAGATGCTTAACCATCTGAGCCACCCAGGCGCCCCTCTATTGCTAAATTAAAAAAAATAGTTGCTATGTTGAATAAAATTCTATTTTTATTTTAAAAAAAGATATAGATAGATACACACATTTTAAGGCATATAAATAGATTTGTATGTGCATATATGCATAGTGATATACACCAAAATATTAAAAATAGTTATCTCTGGATGATAAGATAGTATGATTACAGAGAGGATAAGATTACAGATTTTTTCCAATAATACCTTTTCTCTATATTCTGAATATGTGTAGTGAATATAGGTATTTTTATTATCAGAACAATATGACATTATTTTCAAAGATAGCATTAACAAAGTCAAATACACAGGAATTAGTTACCTACTAGATATAAGATGAAGGGGATTGAAGAAGAAGCAGTTAATACTGATACCTAGGTTCTGGCCTGAAGATAGGAGGTAGGACCAGTAGTTGACATAAAGAGGAAAAAAGAAGAAAGAGAAAACACAGTATTTTTTTTAGACATGTTGGGTGTATGGTACTTATGGGTCATCCAAGGGGAGATGTCTAATAAACAGCTAAAAATATGGGATTGGAATTTAGGAGGTCTGGGTGGAAAAGCAGAATTACAATCTTTTTTTTTTTTTTAAGATTTTATTTATTTGAGAGAGAGAGAATGAGAGAGAGAAAGCACATGAGAGGGGGAGGGTCAGAGGGAGAAGCAGACTCCCTGCCGAGCAGGGAGCCCGATGAGGGACTCTACCCAGGGACTCCAGGATCATGACCTGAGCCGAAGGCAGTCACTTAACCAACTGAGCCACCCAGGAGCCCCAGAATTACAATCTTTAATATGCAAGTTAAAGCTACAGGCCACGGGTATGGATGAAGCTGCCCATAAAGTACGAAGAGGGAGGAAAGGGACAAGAAAAATACATTTAAAGAGCGGGCAGGCAAAGAGAGGCCAGCAAGTGATGTTGAGAATGAATAACGAAAAGGAAACAGGAGAAGCAAGAGAGGAGTGTCACAAAAGTCAAGGAAAACAAAGGGCTTCTAGAGGAGACAATATCAAATGCTGCAGAGAGGCCAAGTAACACGGAAACTGACGAGTGCACAGTGATAACAGATAACTCTCTGATTTGTAACTTTAGTGAGAGTGATTCCAATGGAGTGGTGAGGACACAGGGAAACTGAAGGGACCTCATGAAAAGCTGCTTTTTTTTGCTCCTTTTCCTGCTTGCTGGGATCTGCACCCACCTTACCCATGCTGTATGTCCTCCTTGTAAAGTCAAGGACTTAATGATTTCTTTTGAGTCTTTCAGCACAACAGACAACATCTAAAGAATGACCAGGTGAGGTCGTCATGTACGTTTTCCACGACCACTGACTCCAGACACCTTGACACCAAGACCCCTAGAGCTCCAGGGCATAAGGGACTTAGGCAGGACACCTGAGCACTCCTTGTCTTGATCAGTTCCTGGATGTGTGAAAGGGCATGTACACCAGACCACCATCCTCAATAAAAACTCCACGCCCCAAGCAAAGATGAGACTCACTCTCCTTTCCTTTCCAAGTCTCCCAGATGCTGTCTGTATCTGCTGTCTCTAAAGCTTCAATAAAACCCTGCTCTCATTTCCTCTTGGTGTGCATTTGATTTTGATCCTGCTCGAAGCCAAGGATCCTGTTGATTGGTCCTGCACAACCCCCTCTGGGTCCTCAGACCCAGCCAGCCTGCCACAGTGAGAATGACCCCAGATTGTGGGGGACTGAGAAGCAGGTGACCAAGAGTTGAGGAAGTGAAGATACTGAAACTCCCTCAGTGAACTGAGACTGAAGAGGAGAGAGCGAAAGCAGTGAGGAGAAGGATACACTTAGGTGGGAAGGAAGGCAGGCAAGAAGAGTGAGCACATAGAGGGAGAGGCTGAAGATACAGAAGTGGGCATGACTGACAGCACTGAGCTGGAAAGTCTCCCCTTCACATTCATGCTTAACTAACATTAACTAACAGGTGAAAGGACAGTTCCCAACTTATGAAAGTCTAAAGATTTCAAGGTAACACTCTGAGGAGATGGAAAATGGATATCCTCAGCTTTCTGAGTGAAAAAGTATAAGCAAAGATAGGTCTTCAGGAGAGAAATCTAGAATATGCTGGGCATTTGAAGAGCATGACAACGGTAAAGAAGATCAGCAGGGAAAAGAATTACTAGACAGCATTCAGGGCTGAGGCATGAGCTGCAAAACTTTAAATTAGAAAAAGGTGTCAATAAAAACGTGCATTATTAATTTAGTTATGTGAGGTTCTTTTTTTTTTTTTTTTAAGATTTTTTATTTATTTATTTGACAGAGAGAGACATAGCGAGAGAGGGAACACAAGCATGGGGAGGGGGAGAGGGAGAAGCAGGCTTCCCCGCGGTGCAGGGAGCCCAATGCGGGACTCGATCCCAGGACCCTGGGATCACGACCTGAGCCGAAGGCAGACGCTTAACGACTGAGCCACCCAGGCGCCCCTATGTGAGGTTCTGATCTAATTTTTTAAAAGCAATAATCTATCTTCCATTCAGTGCCAATCACAATTGTCCTTTGATATACATTGCCTTACAAGAAGATATTTTTCCACATTGTAATGAAAAAACAAAACAAAAAACAAAACTGAGGCTCTGAGAGATCAAATCACTTGACCAAAGTCACAAAGACGGTAAATTACAGACAGAGAGAACCTGTTCTAGGGCCTCTGATTTAACATTTAATGCTTTTTATACTAAACTATGCCAGCCTTCCTGGTAGGTGAATCAAGCATATTAATGCAAGTCAGCAAAGAACTAGCTGACTGGCAACCCATGTTACGATCATCAGACTCTGTGCTGCCTAATTTCCACATAATTTGTTAGGGGAGCCCTTTCTCAATATAGAAATTTTGAAAAAACTGATTAAAAAACATAACTTTGGGGGCGCCTGGGTGGCTCAGTCGTTAAGCATCTGCCTTCAGCTCAGGTCATGATCCCAGGGTCCTGGGATGGAGCCCTGCATCCGGCTCCTTGCTCCGCGGGAGGCCTGCTTCTCCCTCTCCCACTCCCCCTGCTTGTGTTCCCTTTCTTGCTGTCTCTCTCTCTGTCAAATAAATCAATAGAATCTTTAAAAAAACAAAAAACATAACTTTCAAAGGTTTATAAGAGCTCTTTTGAGACATAAATATATACATATTTCAGTGAGAAAGAGCAAATAACAGATTTCCAAAAAGCACTGCATACCAAAGGTCAGTTTAAAAAACAACAAAAATCAAATAAAATTGTTTTTACCTACAGGACTAGGGGAACATTTTCTCATGGATGGAGAAATGGTTCAAAAACAAAGGCTGTGGTTACCTCTGCCCACGCTTTGAGAACAGCCAGTTTTTCCATAGTTGTGGCACTCTCTCGGTACAGCTGGCTAGAAGATCCTTTTCCAGCCTGCACTTTGTCCAGAGAAGAGACAAGCAGATTGTGCACTCGACGGAGGTCATTGAGATCACTGACAACTCCACTTCCAATCCATGTACTACACACCTAGCCAAAGAAAAACATTTTTAATTTTCTATAAAAAAATTAATATTAACATATAAGAGTAGGAAGTAAATATGATTTTTTTTTCCTTGGGGGAAGAAACACAAAATACCAATGAAGAAAATGAACAAAAAAACCCCTGAATGCTGTGCTTCAACATTATTTTTGAATAACAAATCAACAACAAGGATGGAAGTTATTATACTCTTATGTGGAAAACTAACAGTATTTACTTATTTTATTTCCATTGTCCAATGTGACAAAAATTTTAACGGAAAAAAATTTCTGCCTGAATTACTTCAGTTGTGAATAATTCTTCAACATTTCTACTTACTACAGGCAAAGGGTTATTCTGGGTGCTATGGAAGAGATTTAAAAATAAATAAATAAAGGGGAAAAATCTAGTCCCTGTCCTCAAGAAAGAAAACACAGATTGAATGAACATTTTAGGACTGCAATACTACACTTAAAAACAGAGAAGGGAGAGATTACTTTTAGCAGAAGAAATGGGAATGTTTAGGTATCAGGAAGGTCTGTGTGTATAAATACAGAGGAGTTACATGGGAAAAGAGATGAGATTAGCAAAATTAACTGGGATCAGATTATGTTACAATTTAAATTCCATGCAAACTGAATTCAGACTTTGTTCTATGGGCAATCAGTTTCCAAGGCTTTTGAGCAGGGAGATTACAACTGAAATTGTGCTTGGGGTGCCTGGGTGGCTCAGCTGGTTAAGCATCCGACTCTTGATTTCGGCTTGGGTCATGATCTTGGGGTTGTGGGATCGAGCCCCATGTCAGGCTCCGAGCTCAGCATGGAGTCTGCTTGCAAGTCTCTCTCTCCTTCTCCCCTTGCCCCTCCAACTCCCCTCAATCAATCAATCAATCAATCAAATCTTAAAAAAAAAAAGAATTGTGCTTTAGGAAGATTGTTCCAGTATTTATACCAGGAAAGAACGTATTTAAATGGTAAGCAATGTGTTCAGTTAAATGACTATTACAATATTATGGGACAGAGATGATATAGATCAAGCTGGGAATGGAATGAAAAGGGAGTGTCACCTGAGAAAGCCTTGGAGACAGAAATCACAGGATTTGGAAACCAATTAAATATTTTTAGGGGAGGGGCCAGAGACTTGCAAAAAGTGTGAGGAATCAAAGATGGCTGTTGTAAATAATGCTGCAATAAACAGGTGTGCATGCATCCCTCTGAATTAGTATTTCTGTATTCTTTGGGTAAATACCTAGTGGTGTGATTACTAGATCATAGGGTAGTTCTATTTTTTACTTTTTTTTTTTTTTACAATAGCCAAATTACAGAAGCAACCTAAGTGTCCATCAACAGATAAATGGGTAAAGAGAATGTAGTATATATACGCATGTATATACACACATACATACATATATACACATACAATGGAATATTACTCAGCCATAAAAAGGAAAGAAATCTTGCCATTTGCAACAACATGGATAAAGCTACGGAGTATAATGCTAAGTGAAATAAGCCAGTCAGAGACTAAGACAAATACCATATGATTTCACTTATATGTAGAATTTAAGAAACAAAACAAATGAACAAAGGGTTAAGAAAGAGACAAATCAAGAAACAGACTCTTAACTATAGAGAACTGGTGGTTACCAGAGGGGAGGGGGTGGGGGGATGGGGGAACTAGGTGAAGGGGAGAAGAGCACACTTATAGTGATGAACACTGAGTAATGCATAGAACTGCTGAATTGCTATACTGTACACCCAAAACTAATATAACTATACTGGAATTAAAATTTTAAAAAACAATAACTAGGGAGATCTGGGAACTCTCCACAAACAGGTAATAACTAAAGCAATGTTATCAGTAAATTTGTTCAAGGACTGATGTATAAAAAAAAAAGGTGTAAGGACAGAACACAGGGAAGATAGTTACACTTAAGGGACAAGCAGAATAAGAGTAAACAATGAAAGAAATTGAAAAGAAAATGCCAGAAGAGCAAAAGGAAAACCAGGCAAGTGCAGGGACACTAGAGTCAAAGGAAGAATGTTGATGAGGAAGGGGTGGCCTGGTGGTGTTAGCTTGCCTCCATAATCACAAGTCCTCACTTTAAAGAACCTGAAACTCGGGGTGCCTGGTGGCTCAGTCAGTAGAGCATGCAACTCAGTAGAGCATGCAACTAGTGAGTTCAAGCCCCAGTATGGGTGTGGAGATTACTTGAAAATAAAATCTTAAAAAAAAAAAAAATATAGAGTATGAAAGTAGAAACTGCAGGTTCTGCATTATAGGTTTGGCTTATGAAAAAAGATAAAGTAGCACTGAATCAGCAAAATCATATTCAGAGAAAAGACCCTGGCCTTATATCAAGAGTGGTACATGAACCTACATTTATCCATTTTAATCTGAAATAAGATATTTAAAATATATGTTTATGATTCCTATGCTGATTTAAAGGATTTTTTTTTTTTTTTATTAAACCACTGATTACTGTCTCCAGTTGTGTTACATTTGAGAGTCTCCCTATAATACCTAAAAATTACCCTGATTCAGTTTCAGGTTTAACATGACATCTGTTCTAGTAAATGGATGCCACGTTTCATGATCTGTCCAAAACCAACTCCTTACTTTCCTTTAAGAAAAAGGAACTTGCAACCCATTGTCCATCTGTTTCAAAACTAGGTTTCCGGGCGCCTGGGTGGCTCAGTTGGTTAAGCGACTGTCTTCGGCTCAGGTCATGATCCCAGGGTCCTGGGATCGAGTCCCACATCGGGCTCCCTGCTCTGCGGGGAGCCTGCTTCTCCCTCTCCCACTCCCCTTGCTTGTATTCCCTCTCTCGCTGTGTCTCTCTGTCAAATAAATAAATAAAATCTTTAAAAAAAAAAAACTAGGTTTCCTCCCAGAAACTGGACAGGAGGTCAAGAACGTAAGCCTGTGTAAGTAGAAAAGAAGAAATTTCATACAGGAAAAGCAGCTTACAGCCACATAAGGTATAAGAAGTTGAAGGCAAATTCAGTTAACAGGAGATTTTCATACTACTCATACACAAGATGAAATCTGAATAGGCTTTGCTTTTCTATGAACAGGAGCTTTGTAGGCTTTGTCTGCTTAAATACTATGCTCTGAAACATCATCATGATACATTTATTTATACAGGATTATGGTTTCTGATTGTTTGTGTGTCGGCATCTCATACCAAACGGCCTGCTCTAACTCTGACGTTTGTATTACGATCCACAGATCTCTCTCTTTAACAAGGCTCCCTCTTTTCTCTCTGGTCTGCTGTTTGTGAGAGGAGTTCATTTCTCTGAAGGCCATCATTAAGACAGCAGACTACAGAGAAATAAATCTTAACAATGGGGGGGGGGTGCCTGGGTGGCTCAGTCGGTTAAATGTCTGACTCTTGATTGTGGCTCAGCTCATGATCTCAGGGTTGTGAGACTGAGCCCTGTGTCAGGCTCCTCACTGGGCGTGGAACCTGCTCAATATTCTCTCTCCCCCTCTCCCTATGCCCCTACCCCACCTCTCCCTCTCTAAAAAAAAAAAAACAACAAACTTAACAATGGGAGGAAGAGGCAAACTCATTCAGCCTGAGAAAACAAAGTAAGAACTTTACACTTATTGTAAATAGCAGAACATTCTTTGTCTAGAGGCCACATGTAGCTTGATTATGGATTCTAAGCAATAATGATGGACCACAGCCCTGTACTCCAGAAAATGCAGAAGGAGAGAGTTGCTTCTCTTCTGTCCTTAGGAAAGCAGATCAAGAATCCAATTTCCTCCAAGATGAGAGCTTAATGCATGAATCCATTTTCAGAATGAGGCATTAAAAAAAAGGGACTTATCAAAAGCATAGGACTGTAAGTGCTTTTGTGACTTTTTTCAAATATAATAATGTGAAAATAATCTCCTGGGATTAATTTTGCAATGAAATTTCCATATTGTGAAATTCTCCAGAAACTTACAGAATTTTCACAAACTGATAAAAAAAAATCTTTTATTACCTAATTATCATTAATATGCATTCTTTAATTATTTTGTAATCTTACTTTTATTTTTAGTCCCTCTGATTTTTATACCTTTGTTCACTATTGGATGATAAAAGACCTATGTATCCCAAAGTCATTTCCTCAGCTATGACAAAAAAAGGGATGCAATTAACAGTTACTACTTCATCATTTGATACAGAATAAAAGAAGAAACTGTCACTGTTGTATTTCCAAGATAAAAATATTTGATTTTTCTTCTTTCTTGGAAGTGAAATTCTAAGGTATCTATTAATTTAAAGAAGGTAACTATAGAAAACCCTATTTTTCTTCTTACCTGGCAGGCTTTTGCTATTATGTCTGATGGGGTATCTTGTGAAAAGGCTGGTCTTAGAGCAGCTCCCACCTAAGAAAATGAATATGAGCATTTTACTGTTAAAGATAAGTAGTAATCTAATACAAAACCTCTTGTGTCTTTGGAGATGAAAACACACAAAACACATCTTTGTTATTTTCTTTTTTATCACATCTCCCTTATCTCTCTTTTCAGTTACAATAAACTCAAACCTACCATTTTTCTTTTGCTTTCCAGGAGGTTATAATCATTATTGAATCTATACAAATGCTATACCAAAACAGGCAATTAATCTTGTTTCTTTTTCCTTTGTTTTTAATAGGAAACAGGATTTTCTGACAAAGTCACATGTTCCTAGACATAACAGAAAACTTCTGTTCTTTTTTTATTATGTCTATATTTTCCTGAATGTATCCTAACAGTATTTACCTCATGGGTGAATCTCATATAACTGGATCAATTCCTTTAATAACTGAGTAGTACTAAAAATTCACATAGTCACTGAAAGACCTCAGAGACCATTTCACCTCAAAAAAAAGATACTTTAAAAGAAGGATGCTCAGGGCTCCTGGGTGGCTCAGTCAGTTAAGCATCTGCCTTAGGCTCAGGTCATGATCCCAGGGCCCTGGGATGGAGCCCGACATCAGGCTCCCTGCTCGGCGGGGAGCCTGCTTCTCCCTCTCCCCCTGCCTGCCACCCTCCTGCTTGTGCTCTCTCTCTGTCAAAAAATAAATAAAATCTTTAAAAAAAATTTTTAAAAAAAGGGTGCTTAAGAAATATTCATTTATGTACCACTGTCATAGTAATAAGTGAAGGAATATGAGCTTTAGTTTTAATAAGCCAATCCAGTCATAGATTCTTAAGTACATTAGATTTAATGTGTATGAACTGAATAAGGAATTAGATAGAGTCAACTCCTAATCTGAGACATCTTCCCTTACACAAGAGAGTAAGTCACTGAAATATATCAACAGTAGTTTAGAAATGGATCAAAAGTCCCTCTCCATGACTGAAAACACATGGCAACTAATTGCAGTGTTGGTAGTACAGTTATCAACTAATCACAGAGCTGGGCTGGGTCCTGTACCGAAGGAGAAAGAGATTACTGGGTTGACTGATAAAACCGGAATATGACTGACTATATTCATATATATATATATTCTATAATAGAAGTAATATATCAACACTGAATTTCCTGCAGTTGATAACTGTTCTGTGGTTATGTAAGTCAGTGTTCTTGTCCTTTGGAAACACAGACTGAAGTATTAAAGGGTAAAGGTACATGATTTAAATAATTATTCTTCCCATTTTTCTGTAAGTTTAGAATTATTCCTAAGTAAAAAGTCAAAACAAAACAAAACAACAAACCTTCATTCTTATAGGTTGGGTATTTGGGAGTAAATAATTGTATACGGGTTTTCTATAGCCAGTTGGGCTAGAAGCCATAACTTCCTCACCTGTACTTATGATGGAAAAACAATGGAGCATACATTATTCACCCTTTTTAATTTTGTGTATGTTTGGGTATAGCTTTTATTTATTTAGTTATGTATTTATTTATTTATGTTATGTTAATCACTGTACATCATTAGTTTTTGATGTAGTGTTCCATGATTCATTGTTTCGTGTAACACCCAGTGCTCCATTCAGTACGTGCCCTCCTTAATACCCATCACCGGGCTAACCCATCCCCCCACCCCCGTCCCCTCTAGAACCCTCAGTTTGTTTCTCAGAGTCCATAGCCTCTCATGTTAGATGAGGTGTTGTGTATCTGAAGCTAAGGTTCTGGTATAATTACAGTAAAAAAAAAAAATGTGTCTTCCTTCCTTGATAACTTAAGTTTCTTTGTCTTTACATAACCCATCATAACCAGGATTAAATCTATTGTGCCTCAGTTCAAGAACGCAAATAAAGTTATAAATCTGAGGAAACAAGTATCTCTGTTTAGAATACAATACAATATTTTTTGAAGGTATGTAATTCTTTCAGTCATATTTTTAACTGCTGTTATTAAAAGTTACCCTTCAGCATACAAAGTTGCCCTTTTTATTTTTAAAAATGCTTATCAAGTCTTGACATATAAAAGTAATGTCAGCAAATCCACAACACTCTTTGAATGTCTTATCTTTTAAATGGCATGGCTAAACGTCTAAACACAAGACTGAAAAGCTAGGCTGCAATTCTCTTCTAGTTTTATCACCAATACACTATCAGAACTTAAAAATAGTGACAAGTTTTATACTATTGTTTCTTCAACTGTGGGATTCAACTATGTAACAGATGATGGGAATAAAGATATGCAGTAGAAGTTCCAAATACATTTCTCCAGGGAATCTTCACTCCTTTAATGATCATGCAAAGGATCCATTTTAAGTTTTAGATAAACAGAGTATCTCACATTAGCTTGATACTGCTCCAGAATCACATGGCCTGGAAATTCTGGCTCAGGCACAGATGCAAACTTCTTGATAATGTCTTCAAGTGCTTGGAGCCCAGCCATCCGCAGCTGATTACTATGATCGGTTGCAGCCATGAATGCCATGCGAATCAGGTCAGAGAGATGAAGTACCAACAGGTCATCTAAAAATAAAAATAGAAGGCAAAAAGGAAAACTCTAAAAATAGATATTACAACACAAAAATATGAAATGAAATAAACCTCTTTAAAAAAGCACTTATGTTTGGGGCACCTGGATGGCTCAGTAAGTTAAGTGTGTGCCTTCAGCTCAGGTCATGATCCCAGGGTCCTGGGATCAAGCCCTGCATCAGGCTCCCTGCTTAGTGGGGAGTCTGCTTCTCCTTCTCCTTCTGCCTGCCGCTCCCCCTGCTTGTGCTCTCTCCCTCTCTGTCAAATAAATAAATAAAATCTTAAAAAAAACCACTTATGTTCCACATATTTCACTATGTCTAAAAATAACAAAGATACACTTTCAAGAAAGCTCGTGTATCATAATTTCTCAAGAATACTGGTAAACCTTTACCCAATATGGTAATATAGATGACATTATTGGATGTACAATAGCATTTGAAGCAAAATAACTATAATAACTTTCCCCAAAGGAGTTTGTAATTCTTTTAGAATAGGATTGGCAGATTTTTCCTGTAAAGAACTAGATACTTTTGGTTTTGCTGGCTATATAATTTCTATCACAACTACTCAACTCTGCTGTTGTAGAATGAAAAGAGTCATAGATCACGTGTATATAAATGGGTATGCTGTGTTCCAATAAAACTTTATTTAAAAAAAACAGGCTATGGTCTGGATTTGGACTGTAGGAAGTAGTTTTCCAACCTCTACTCTGGAAAAGACTTTTATAATGACAAGATGTAGAAAAGGGAAGTCTTTTTCCTTTTAGAGTAAAGGCTACCCCAGATCTTAAGCTTAAAAGCAAGTCTCAAAAGGATTCAAAAGATACCAAGTAATTTAACTACATCCCAGAACAAAGTCCAACATATTTAAAGGAATACAACAAAATCCAGCCCTACTACTATAAAATCTGCAAATCTGGCATGTAATAAAAAATTACCAGGGATGCAAAGAAGTAAGAAAATATATCTTGCAACAAGGGAAAAAAAACCCCTCAGTGAATAGAAACAGATCCAGAAATGAAAAAGGTGATGAAATTAGCAGACAGGGAGCCTAAAATAGTTATCATAAATATGTTGTCTATATTCAAGAAAGAAAACAAAAACCTGAGCATATTGAAGAGAGAAGTATTGAAGAGAGAAGGGAACCACAATGAGTCTTGTAGAAATGAAAAAATAAAAAATGACAAATATACTGGATAAGATTATTAGTGATTAGATACTGAAGAAGAAAAGACTGGTGAATGTAAAGAACTAGCAACTGAAGTTATCTAAAGACTTTATCAAGCTCAAGTACTCTAAAGTTCTTCAGGAGGCTGCAAGACTCCCAAAGTCTTTTTGAAGCAGTGGCAATCTGTGGCTCAGCTGGATTCCCAAACAGCTCCTATTTAAACAGGTTTTTGTGGTTATTGCTATTGTGAAGGTTATAAGACAAGTATGGTCTAATTTTTTTCATGTGCCTACCTAAAATTCCAATTTTAGAATCTTAAATTTAAAAAAGAACATTTACTGGCTTGGGGAAGAGGAACAAAGGAGAGAGAGAAAAAAAAAAATTGGCTAGAAGCCCCCAATACTTCCTCACCTAAGGGAGGCAAAAACACACCATCAATAAAAATCAGGTATAATGAACTACTGCCAGAAGTTGGGAGGAAATTTCCAAGGCAGATGGAACTGGATTAAAATGAGCCTATTCATATTATGCCAACCGAAAAGTAAATAAAAAGATCCATTACTCCTCCAGTACTCTCTGTTACCTAATTAAAAAGGTCTAGAATGATAGCAATCTACCAACCAAAAACTAGGCAATTATTCCCGAAAGTACTGTCACTTCTCTACACAAATCTCTACTTCCAACTTTTCTTAAGTCAAGATGTCTTTTTTCCAAATCCAAGGAGATAAACTCCCAGAGCAGGGGAATGGGAAGGGGCATGAAGCAGGAACTCTAAAATGGGGAGGGAAGTAGGGGGCTGTTTGAGGTTTATTATATTCCGGGAGCAGTAGTTCCATACAACTAAAGCTCAGTGGATACAAAGGGGGATAAGGATGATAAAGGAAGAGCCTGGATAGCACATTTATTTGGTCTATAACTTTGAAAAATACATGCTGACATGATTGTTCAGAATAGCAGGCAATGGGAACTAGAAAGGATCCTGTTTCAGTCCAGCAGAACAAAGCATGTCAGATACTGGAATCTAGGTTGGAAAGCTGTTATATCAGCTTACCATCCAGCTACCAATGTGAAGTACCAGTAAACAAAGACCAAGAATATGGGCAATCCACCCACACACACACACTGTGAGCAAATTTCAAGTAGGGAGAGTGCTCTCCCCTCTTTCAAGGATATATAAACAAATAAGCCTATGAAGAAAACACATGCAGGCAAAATAAAGATTCTGAAGATTCAGAAAGAGCTAATCTCAAAAACAATTTTCTATATAAATCAGAATAAAATAAAGAAAATCACTTGGCATCTCAATAGAAGGCAAAAAATCATGGCTGCTACCGAATAAGAACAGAAAATCATAAAGAGTCAAAAGGATATGATATAATGAAGGCAGAAAAAAGACAAAAAATTAAGGGAAAACTAAAAACAAAATAAGACTTAAGACCCACTATGGGGGCAGAAAACAGTAAAACATTATCAATGGTATAAAGGGAAAATTTGTGAGGATCTCTGAGAATGCAGGCAAAAGACAAGATACAAACAAAGAGAGAAAAAGCATTAAATACAAAGAAAGGAAAGCCAACCTAAGGATCTTCACTATTCCCTAAATGTCATATGCACACTTATATTTCCATGCCTTTGAAATTCTCTTTACTTCCGGGGTGCCTGGGTAGCTCAGTTGGTTAAGCGTCTGACTTTTGATTTCAGCTCAGGTTATGATCTCAGGGTCATGAGATCGAGCCCCGTGGCAGGCTCCTCGCTCACCACAGAATCTACCTAAGATTCTCTCTCCCTCTCATCCTCCCCCTCGCCCCATTCACGCTTGCATGCATGTGCGTGCACGCTTTCTCTTTAAAATAAATAAATAAAATCTAAAGCAAACAAATTATCTTACTTTCTTTGCTTGCAATAAACCAGTGTGGTAAGCAGAATAATGGTGCTCCAATATGTCTATAACTTAATCCCTACAACCTGTGAATATGTTAACTTACATAGCAAAAGGGGGTTTGTAGATGTGATTAAGGTTATGGGCTCTGAAATGGAGATTATCCCAAATTTAACAGGTGGCCCAATCTAATCACATGAGCCTTAAAAGTAGAGCACCGCTCCTGACTATGGTCACAGCCATGTGACAGGTAAAGAAGGATCACCGAGAGAGTTGGTGTTGGCTTTGAGGGCGCCATCTCCAAGAGATAGAGAGAGGGGGCCACCACCAAGCAATGCAGACAGCCTATAGAAGCCGAGAAGAAAAGACTCCTGGAAAGCCTCCAGAAAGGAATGCAGCCCTGCTGATACCTTGATTTTAGCCCAGTGAGACTCATGTTGGACTTTCTGACCTATAAGAACAGTAAGATAAACAATGTGTGTTGTTTTAAGCCACTGAATTTGTGGTCATTTGTTACAGCAGCAATAGAAAACTAATACAACCAGCTTCTTCTACCTGGAAAATCTTTTCTCTGCCTTTAAAATCCAGTTTCAAAATCACCTTTTCTGTGAGATCTTCCCTGGCTCTTCAGAAAATGCATACTACTTTTTTATGTCCCCAAAACACTCCGTCATACCACTATTGGGACATATAATTGTTTGAGAGATAAGTCTTCTAGACTAGAAAATCTTCAAGGATATGGGCTATGTTTTTTTCTTCTTCATGTAGCAAAGAATAGGGTTTGGTAAATATTTGATAAATAATGGCATGAATAAGGACACTGTGTTCATGATATACTGTGCTTTGCTGATAACCATACATTCAGATTCACATTTTATACGTGGAGTACCAGTTTTACTTTTGGTTTGTTTTTTAATCCATTTTTGAGTTTTAGTAAACTGAAAGGCATTTAGTAATCAAGTAAACTAAATGGAGTTTTAATGTATAGACTTCAATACTATTAGTACACACAATTTGTTTTTACATGTGTAAAAAAAAAATGAGAGGGTGACAAAGAGACAACAAAGTAAAAGACAGAGAGTCTATTATTCTTCCATCACTCTCAGCTCTGGGTCTCCTCATCTGTAAAATGAGGATATTACACCTGATGATCTCTTTATGAACTCCCTGCAATATCTGATCCAGGGAATGATGGGATATAAAAAGCTTACAAAAGATAAAAAACAGTGTTGAGTTTCAGTAACAGTTTTCACCTTTTCAAAAATACCTAGTAGCATTTCTGAAATCTGAAAGTTTGAGTTGGCATTCATGAGTTCTGACATTCTCCATGGCTGGGACTGCAAAACTCCCTTTACTTACGTACCTTAAAGTTTTGCCATCTCTTTTACGCTTAACTGCTAAACTAGGACACAGTACAAAGGATATGTAAGTTACTGCCATCGTTATCTTTAGGGCACATGATTAAGATACATCTACCTTATCATAGACATATACCTTTGGACCATTGTCTTCAACTTATCTTCTAAATATAGGTCAGAAGACAGGTAGTATGCTTAGGGGACAGAAAACAAGGTAAAAGGAGCTTATAAGAAATGAAAGGCAGAGTCTAAAGCATGTTACATAGCAGCAAACCTGTATTTGAAACCTACAAAAATACTCCGGGGAAAAGAAGTACTGATTTTAAATTTACTTGTAGGGTTTCGTAGTTTAGCAGAACGTGCCATGGCAAGATCGAAGTGGGCCTGGTCCGCATTCTCACACAAATTGATGATTCGGCACAGGCAATCTGCAGCGAACACCCGAGTGGCCCAGCGAGGTGCCACGAAGGGCTTTGATTTATCTTCTTCACCTAGTGTGGTGAACATGGTATCATCATCCATCTCATCTTTCTTCTCAGATTCCTCATCTTTTCCACTACTTAAGGGAGTTGCAGTGCTCATATCTATAACAAAAATGAAGCATATTATGACAAGCTCACATACAGCAAAAATGATGCTTTAGAACTTGCATTAATGTTACAAGATTTCTAATAAAAAAGGACTAAATTCTCACTCCTTTGAAAACAGTAGAATTGGCAAGTTTTTTTTAAGTCAATCAGAAAGCAAAGAAAGGATAGCATAAAAGTGTTTTTACATATTTCACTAGTTTTACATACTATGTTGAATACAGAGTAACCTGGGATTTTTATATACGAAAATTTAGTGTGAATTTAGTTATTTCCCCCAAATCAAAGAAAGCTCATTAGTTTGTAATATAATTTAACCTTCAACATTTATACAGGGATTTATAGATTAAAATTTATTAGCATTTTTAAATGTAAGCTCATATATATATATATATCTTTTTTTGTTTACATATACAGATATATACCAGAGGTAAAACAGTCATTATTTTAAGAACATACTTTATATATTAAATACATACCACTAGAAGCTGCCAGGACATCTTTACAAAGCATTAGCCAGTGGGAAAGTTTCTCTACAGCCAGTGATGAAAGCATATGACCCAAAGTATCATGAATATCAGAACATAATTTTCTATCTGTCTCCCGGTCTAGCATTCCAAAAAGAAGTCCCTCAAGACCAGTTTCTGTTATATTAACACCTTGGTGCCGGCAGTGGATATCACTTCGAGAACTGACTCCAGGTGCAAAAGGATTGACATCTGAAAAGCAATTTTTACAAATGAACTTGTATAGAGTTTTGTTGTATACTACAGGTAACAATTATGTTAAAGACCAAGGCTTACATGTAAATTCACGATTACAACAAAACAAGCTAGCTATACTAGAATTTATGTTCTCCAGCTTACATATCCTTAGGTTTAGAGAATCTGATAATAAAGGTAAAACTCTGATCCTTAAGACTGATTATTCTGAGGTATTTTAAACAAATCTCCAGAGAATGCTCAATAAATATACATTTCTTTCTAAAAAAGAGAAAGTATGGGAATGAGACATATTTCTAAGTAAAATCTACTTAGATTTAATGGACTGAAAAATAATTATTGTATATTTGTTGGAAGAACAAAGTGAAATTTATTCAGTCTTATAGTTTAGGTTTTTAAAAATCTATAAAGCCAGAACACAAATTATAAATGGATTATGTCCTAAAAGATCATTTAAAAACTGGGAAAATCCTTTCCAAGAATCATACAATCAAAAAGTCATATTGAGTGGGGAGATGGATAAAATAGGTGGAGGGGTTTAAGAAGCACAAACCTCAAGCTAAAAAATAAGTAAGTCACAGGGTTGAGAAATACAGCATAGGGCATATAGTCAATAGTATTGTAATAACATATAATGACAGATGGCGACTACACTTGTCACAGTGCGCACTGCATCAAGTACAGAATTGTGGACTCACTATGTTGTACACCTGAAACTAATATAACATTGTATGTCAGTTATACTTCAATTAAAAAAGTAATATTGTCACAAAATAGTAGTTAAATGTCTTGCTTTATCTGAAAATCTTTTTGTTCTTAGAAACAGCAGAAGTTGTACAACTAGCAACCTTAAGAAGGAATACTATGAGGCTCTGAAGACTGAAGCCCTTTGAACCTTGAAGACAGTGAAACAAAGGGATGTAAACTGAAAGTGGCTCTTTTAGTTGAGTCACTCCAAAGACAAAATAAGGGCAAGTTTGCAGAAAATAGCCACGGTGAGAGGAGCTCAGATAGTAGTAAAAGTCAAAAGCTTTGATTCCAAGGAAAGAGAACATTAGTGCGAAATTAGGCATAGAGGCCTATTTTTCACTTAGCAGCTGATAGTGACTATGTTCCCGTATCAGGAATTACACTTCTACAACATTAATTTTCATAGCTACCTAGCAAACTAAAAAAAAAAAAAAAACAGAGAGAGAGAGAGAACATTGATTGATCACTGAGGATAAATTCCTAAAACGGGAATCACTAGGTCAAGGGTAAGCTGACAAAAAATACTGACAAATCCAGAAAATTTGTATGACTTTACATTTCTTTCTACCAGCACTATAAGATATTTCTCTTTTATTCATACCTCTCTTAGTGCTGGTTATAATCATTATTTTTAATTTGGTCAGTTTTATAGAAGAAAAATGCTATCTTATGATTGTATTGACTTGTAATTATTTAATCACTGGAGGTTGAAAATATTTCATATGTTGACATTTCTTCTTTGATAAAACATGTTTCTTATGCTCTCATGATTTTCTATAGATGCAGAAGAGAGTTAACATAGCAGGCCTGAGATGACTTAGTAAGGCCTAAAATTCAGATTAGCTCTCAGCTAGCATCCTGGTGAACTGGGTTTCAGGAGGGTTCCCACCATTTCCTGGTCAAAGTGGCTCACTATGCCTAAACTGTTTGTACAAACGGTATGGTTTATGCTGAACACCTGCTTGCCTTTTAAAGTCTGGACTTTTGGAACATGTTAGGCAGACTATGCCTAGTCACCCAGAGCCCAATAAAAACCTTGGGCACCGAGCCCCTAACAAGGTTCCATGGTAGACATTTCATATGTTGTTAAGACTCATTGCTGGGGAGTCAAGCAGCTCCTGCGTGACTTCATGGGGCGTGGGCTCTTGGAAACCTGCACCTGGTTTGCTCCAGAATTCACACCAAGTGCCTTTTCCCTCTGCAAATTTTGCTTTGTATCCAGTTGCTGTAATAAATCATAGCCATAAGCATGATTATAATGCTAAGTCCTTCTAGTGCATCATCAAACCTCGGGGTGGTCTTAGGACCCCCAACACATTAAGTTTTAAAAACATTAAAATGTAAACATGCACACTTCAATAAATAAAATAAATTAATAAATATATTTTGCAAGTACTTCCCCTCCTAGTTTGTCTCTCAATTTTGATTATGGTGACTGAGGAGTATAAGTTTTAAAATATTATATGTACTCAGGAGAATTCTATAATTATTTTTGGTGCTATGTTTTCTCTCTAAAAAGCAATAGTATTTACTGTATAAATAACTTCTTTCACATTCTGCAATACAGTATATTTGTTAATAGAGCTCTTATACTACCCTAAAATTGAAGTTATTTTAGTATCTTGCTTCTTAGTACCCAAGCAACTTCTATGCATTAGAAAGCTCTTATGAGTAAAAGTTTTCTCTCACAATAGGGGAAATATCTGTCAGTTAAGCTCTGAAAAAGCTCCCAAGCAACCTATCCCTAGAGACCAAAAGGCCAGCTACGAAATTCAAGCTATACTTAAAACCCCCCAAAAAGCAGAAAGAACTAAAGAAAGCAAAGATCTATCTTTTGCTACCCAAACACCTACTGACATTTCTTTTATTGGTTACTCTAGCTTTCCCTTCTTGAGGAAAAGTTACATCACAAAGAGTCAACTAGTATCAGAGACTGGAAGCTTTCAGGTACCCCCAAAATAGGTCATTTCTCTTTCCAAAAGTCTATTAGTGATACAAAGCAATATCCTTAGAGTTAGTTATCCATTATATAACTCAATCATCCTGAAGGGATGGCACAAGTACCTTGATACTAAATGCTATTTACTTTTTTTTTTTAGCTCCAAATCTTAAAAAAGGTAAAAGTGTAAAATTACCAAGAAAATAATACTAGAATTTTTGTTTTATTTTATTTATTTATTTTTTAAAGATTTTATTTATTTGACAGAGAGAGACACAGTGAGAGAGGGAACACAAGCAGGGGGAGTGGGAGAAGGAGAAGTAGGCTTCCTGCTGAGCAGGGAGCCCGATGCGGGGCTCGATCCCAGAGCCCTGGGATCATGACCTGAGCTGAAGGCAGACGCTTAACGACTGAGCCACCCAGGCGCCCTGATACTGGAATTTTTAAAGTGATAATGGTTTTATATTTAACTTAAAAGAATAAGAAGATTGACCATACTTGAAAGCAAAAATGTTATTTAAAGAGTAATATTCATTTGAAATGTTAAGTATTTAAACAAAAAGAATATTGACTAATAAAGTAACTTACAAGTACCAGGGTTTTCCTTGTCACCTGCATTTTTTGCTAGGCTCATGGCATATTCACATACTTCAGCTGCTTCTCTTTGTGCAAGCTGCCGGAGACAAGCCACAGCAGCTCGGCGAAGTAGCAAATGGGAACTACATAAGTGAACCTGGAAACCATAACATATTAGACAATTCTTTAAAAAACTGCAATCTCATTTGCCTAACGAATATGTATTAACACCTTACTTGTGAAGAGGCTCTTCATTTAACAACATCAGCTGTTAAATATATAGTCAAATAAAGGACTTTTGGAAAAATAATACCAATAAATTATATAAAGAATATTTTAGTGGCCAAAATAACTGTCTCAAGACCTGGTTGCTAAAGATGATACAATATACTTCCATGAAAATCCAGAAGAATCTCTTACACATCTTATTTGACCCGTGGTCCTACTAAATGTTGTCATCTAAATTTTTTAAGTGCATGGAGATTGTATGTAGTCAATGAAAAGTTAGGAGGCAGAGCACACAGCAAGAATTGAAGGAAAAGAAGGGTATTTATTAAAATAAAAAATAAAATCAAGCAAACATAAACACCTGGAAAGAATTCTAAAATGGGCCCTTTTGGAATAGAACTGTTTTTAATCTCAAAAGTTCCTGAAAAAATCAATGTAGTACACTTTAATACATGAAGGAAAGTAAAGACACAGCACAACATAATGATTAAGAGCTCAGGCTCTGGCTGCTAGACTGGATTTGAGTCTTGCTTGTCACTGACTCCTGTGTGACCTTAGACAAGTTATTTAACCTCTCTGTGCCTTATTTGCCCATATGCAAAATGTGGAATACAGTGAAAATAAAATAAGTTAAGACAAGTATTTTCCTTAGAACAGTGATAGAGACATGGTATTTGCTCATTATATATTAGCTATTATCATTATTACTATATTATTATTATAATAATATCATTATTACTATTATCACTATCATATTACTATAAATCTGACGCATCAAGAAAATATTAAATTATGTTCCATGTGCTTGCTTTTTAAGCAAGGAGATAAGTAATATATTTAGAAAAAAATCTCATCCAGAAATAGTGGAGGGGGGGGAATAATTATATGGAATACACCACCTCTTCACAATGCTAGATAGTATATTTTTATACTACCAATATAGCATTTGTAATTCAAGATATATTTGCATAAAATTTATAGCCCATGAAATTTATACCAAGTATTAAAATATATATATATATATGTGTGTGTGTATAATTGAGGAGAGAAAACCTTTTTATTTATTTATTTATT